CAGGCCGGGCTGGGGGACCCCCCTCCCCACCCCCCCGAGTGCACAAATTTTTGTGCACCGGGTCTCTAGTTTATATATAACATACCTAAGAATGGAATTTAATCCTTTTAGTATATTGACAAGTATTTTATTTTTTATTTTTTAAAAATACATCTTTATTGATTTCAGAGAGGAAGGGAGAGGGAGAGAGAGATAGAAGCATCAATAATGAGAGAGAATCATTGATTGGCTGTCCCCTACACAAACTGGAATCGAGCCTGCAGTCTGGGCATATGCTCTGACCAGGAATTGAACTGTGACCTCCTGGTTCATAGGTCACCACTAAACCACTGAGCCACCACGGCTGGGCTTGACAAGTATTTTAATGTGCTGGCAAATAAAATTCAGTCCAGAATTAAATCTCAATGCTTTACAAAAGTAGCCACTTTAGAGTATATACAATGTGAAATGCTATTTTCCTCTGTATTTTCATTGTGAAAAAAAGGTGTGGGGGATTTAATCAAATTCTTAAAAACAACAATAATGATAAAAATAAAGTAGTCACTTAGGTTCTTTGATACTTTTAAAAAGTATGTTCTTTCTGTCCTTTTAGTTCTTCAAACGCAATTTCTATCATTACTTTTCTAGGCTTCCCCTTCCCAATCAGAGCAAGGATGGGCAGTTTGCTCCCCATCTGGCTTGTCCTGTGGTCGTAAGGAGAATGCTCTGTGGGAAGGAAGGGCCCATTTGCCGATGTAGCACTTACAGCGTTCCCGAAGTGACAGACCTGGAGTATGATCACCTTATAAACCAGCAACTGTCCTCCATGGACCAGATTATTATAGTCTATGTGTTCTCAGATAAGGAAAAGGACAAGACTATGAAGGAAGTGAACAAAGTGTACAGGGAGCAGAATAAAGCTAGAAACATGCCTTGTACTCAGGTGAGTGTCATGTGTATAAAGACAAATTGTGAAATAATGTTGACTTGTATGTTATATCTTAATACAGTTCCTCAGCCACACTAAGGCTCATGGAAGGAATGCTGCCCCTTCCTTCTGAGGTTTGACCTTATATAAGAAAGGTCACAAGTCGTAAGGGTATATAGCTTAGTGAATTTTTACATATGTATATGTCTGTATAATTACCATCCAGAGCAAGATATACTAATAGACTATTTCCAGGCCCCAAAGAGCTTCTTGTGCCTTCTCAGTCAGTAAATCACCCACAGAGCCCTATCCAGTTTGGCTCAGTGGATAGAGTGTCAGGCTTTGGACTGAAGGGTCCCGGGTTCGATTCTGGTCAAGGCCGCATGCCTGGGTTGTGGGCTCAATCCCCAGTAGGGGGAATGTAAGAGGCAGTCAATCAATGATTCGCTCTCATCATTGATGTTTCTCTTTTTCCCCCTCTCCCTTCCTCTCTGAAATCAATAAAAATATATTTAAAAAAATAAATAAACCACCCACCTACCCACACACAGGTAACCAGTATTCTGACTTGTATCACCATAAGCTACTTTTGTCCGTTCTAGGCCTTCCTATACTAGTACATGGCATCACACAGTGTGCACATTTCAAAACACACAGTGCATTTTTATGCTTCCTCTGCCAGAGAATGGAAATGGTAAGTACAAGTCATGCCAACGTCTTCCAATTCCGCATCCTTGGCAGACATTACTAATCTATCATTCTTGTCAACTGAGCCTAGACTGGACCCTAAACTCTTACTTTGATTGCACTCCAAGTAGCCTCTGCCTGAAGTAAGTCTGAAGTAGGCACTCATAAAACCTCTTCCACATGATAGCTGTTACCCGCAACACATTTAATAAGTCTTTATGTCTTACTGATTCTGTCCCTGAGATATTTTTTCCTAGTTGTCCCTTTTTTTCAATCCCATTGCTTCTGCTTATTTTAGACCTTTACCATCTCCCACCTGATGTTCTCCAATAAGTTGCCTAATTTTCCTGCTTCTGATCTTAGTCCCTCTGACATTTCCTACATGTTGCAGGGTATTATTTTTAATATCTGAAGATGACTGCATCATTCTGCTTAAAACCCTCTAAGGCCTTCTCTTCAGGTCAAGTCCAAGTTCCTTACCTGACATTGAGGGCCCACTCCCACTGGGGCTCTTCCCTGCATGTTCAGGTCCCTACTTCAACCTCAGTGATAGCCTCAGGGGGGACTTTAAAGAATGCTTAGGGACCCTCAGGTCTTGTTCTCCATCAGGTTGAAGCACGTGAAAGCTGAGAGTTGGGCTTTGTCACCCTTTGCCAAACTGCTTCCAATAAGTTGCCTTTTTAGGATGTTGCCCTGAGTATACCCTGTGCTTATTTTAAGGGGTGTTACATTATTTGCTACAGGCCTGGTATAACCTGTGTTAAGCCCAATGTGGAAATTGTCTCCCTGAATGAGAAGCTAGAAAGCTTTTCTCCCCACGAGGATCTGGTGTGCGCCCTCTTTCCTGTCCATGAGATTTTGGTGCCCTACTGGGTTCCTCTCTTCACTTTGCCTTAAAGTATAGAACAAGCCCTAGCTGGTTTGGCTCAGTGGATAGAGCGTCAGCCTGCAGACTGAAGGGTCCTGGGTTTGATTCTGGTTAAGGGCACATGCCCGGGTTACGGGCTCAATCCCCAGGAGGGGGCATGCAAGAGGCAGCCGATTGGACTATTGTGCCTTCTCTCTTATTATTGATGTTTCTATCTCTCCCTCCCTCTCCCTTCCTCTCTGAAATCAATAAAAAAAAATGTATTTTTAAAAAGTACAGAATGTTTTAGACTGAATTATAACAATAGAGTAAAAAATTACTTACCACTTATCTGAAACCCATTTTTTCTTTTGGATCTAGAACTTCTGTTTATATTGAAATTTTCTCATCATGATTTTTATAATTCATAATTTTCTCTTACACAAGTCTTCCTTCAAACCACTTTAGGTGGTTTCCTTAAAAGGCAAATTGTAAACAAACAACCCGACTTAAAATGTAAATTTTAACTAAGGAAAGATTATTTTTCTAGCAGAATTGAGAGCAATCTTGCAGGGAGGTGACATGACATTTTGTAACTTTGAAGGTGAAGAGAGTCCGGGCATAACTGGCTAGAAAACCTATACTTCCAAAAAGTAGATTCTTTTTTTTTTTTTAATATATTAAAAAAGGGAAAGGAATAGAGAGCTAGAAACATCGATGAGAGAGAAACATCGATCAGCTGCCTCCTGCACACCCCCTACTGGGGATGTGCCCGCAACCAAGGTACATGCCCTTGACTGGAATCAAACCTGGGACCCTTCAGTCCGCAGGCCGACGCTCTATCCACTGAGCCAAACCGGCCAGGGCAGATTCTTTATTAGATCATAAAAAGGAAAGGAATGATCCTGTACCAGGGACCCTAAAGGAATCCAAATAAGAATGTGGACAGTTATAAAACACAGAAAACTCACCCAAGAACCTCAGTCTCCTACAGAAGGGTTGCCTGGCATTCATTCTCTTTCATTCCACCTAACCAGGGGACCCTGGCCTCTTGCATGGTGCTGAAATTGTTGAACTGTACTTGGAAGCTGAACAGCAGTGGGAATCACTGGACACTCTGGTAGAAGCTTCAAGGGTATAGATAAAGCTCCTGAAAGGGTGGCCTGAGCCACAGAGGGTGTGAGGTAGGTTCTGGGAGCACAGGATCTGGGAGTAGCAGCCCCACCCTCCCAGCCTACTTTGAAGCTGGATTCCTCTGCCAATAGGAAGGAAGGAGGTTCTTGATGGCAGGATAATGTCTTGTTCACAAGTATAGCCCCAGTGCCTATCATGGGCCTAGCACATGGTTAACACTTAAAACATACTTGTCAAATGAATAAATGAACCAATCAATGAGTGAATGATTCTTCAGCCTGAGGGTCGGATATGGGTATATGGTCACTGCTAATTCTTTCTTGGTCTCGTGGGAGGTACTTCTGGGACAGTGAGCTTGTGAACTGAGCTAGGTCTCCCCTGAAGAGAGACAAGCAGAGTGAATAAGAGACCAAGACCTAAATCAGGAGTTCAACTTCTCACTGGAGTGACAACAATACACATTAAATCCCAAGGGCTCTGCCATCCTCAGTGCAGACAGTGCTCCCCCAACGTCTGGCATCTAATAGATACTCAGTCAATGTTTGCTGAACTGATCAGAAATGCAAAGTCAGAATAAGATCAATAGAGCAAATATTTATTGAGCACTTAACATCATTTAATTCTCAAAAGAATCCTAAGCCCTAACTGGTTTGGCTCAGTGGATAGAGCATTGGTCTGCAGACTGAAGGGTCCCAGGTTCGATTCCGGTCAAGGGCATGTACCTTGGTTGTGGGCACATCCCCAGTAGGGGGTGTGCAGGAGGCAGCTGATCGATGTTTCTCATCAATATTTCTAACTCTCTACCCCTCTCCCTTCCTCTCTGTAAATAATCAATAAAATATTTTAAAAAAAAGAATCCTAAGTGGCTGGCTTTTCTGCATATGAGTCCATTGAGCACAGGTCTGTTACTGAGACACAGGACAGTGAATCACTTGTCCAGGATTCCTCGGTTAGGAAGTGGTGGGGCTGGGGTTCAGACCATGGGGCTGTACTCTAGGACCCAGACTCCTAAGCACCCCACCATGCCACATAGTGGTGTGGAGCAGAAAGTGGCTTCGGGAGCAAGAGTGGAATACAATGAGGTGATTGGATTGGGAAGAAGGTGCCACACTTACTCATGTGGGGGAAGGAGATGAGGAAAGGTTTTTGCATGCATTTAGTAGGCACAAGTAGTAGTTAAAATGATGAATCACCCAAGGAGGGTGTAAAGAGAATGAATGGCAAGAGGCAAGCTTGGAGATTTTTGTACAGTAGATACCTAGAGATCAAATAGAGAAAAAGCTGTGCCTGACAAAGACTAGGATGGGAGATAGAGAGGAATGGGAAGAAAACATAAGAGTGGGGCCACAGACTCCCAGGAGAGAGTTTGAGAAGGGGGAACTGTTTGATAATTTCAAATGCCATAAAAAGGTCAAATAATACAAGAAACATGAAAATGTCCACTGGCGTTGGCAATACAACGGCTATGAGGAGCTTATGAAGGCATTTCTAATGGAGCAGTGACAATAGAGTCTAGAATTATTGGTTCAGAGATACAAATACTGCTGAATAGAACAAAAGGTTGGTTACCTGGGATATAATGTCTTTACCACTTTTTCTTTTTCTTTAAAGAGTCGTTTGGATTCCTTTCGATTTCTCAAATACAACATAATCTCTGCATCTAAATTTACAGGCAGCAATTATCCACTTCTGGTTCAAAGGCACAATGTCATTCCAGGAATTTTTTTGGTAGGTGCTTTGAGACATATGACCCTTTTAACCGACTGTTGTGTATGATGCTTGCATGGCTTAGAGATCATTCACAGAGTGCACGAAAGGCTAGAGAGAATGCGGAAATAGGTCAGCTCAAATCACAACCTTCTGTGGTACCCCCTTAACTAGAGGTCTTCTTATAAATGCAGGTCTTCTTATAACTGTTAGATTATCTGTATGGCCAACCACTCTAATGAAGTTAAAAATTAGATACTCTGTTAACACTGAGGTGGCCAAAGAATTCACCTTGTGAATTAATATGGGATTATAAGTGCTAAATTTTAATTCTTGTGTTTAAGAAGCTTATAACCTAATTAAGGAGATAAGATATAGAAGATCCATAATTTAAGACTAAATACATAGACAATAATAGTGTGGTGATTGCTAGGGGGCACATGGGGTTGGGAGGTGGAGGAGGGTAAAGGGAGGGTAATTGGTGATAGATGGAGACTTGACTTGGGGTGGCGAACACACAATACAGTATACAGATGTTGTGTTATAGAGTTGAACACTTGAAATCTGTATGGTTTTATTAACCAATGTCACCCCAATAAATTCAATAAAAAGGGAAAAAAGACTGAATAGAGTAACTACCATAAGTGAGACAGCCTAATCTGGTAGAGAAAGCATGAACTTTAAAAGCAAACAGACTTGAGTTCAAACCTTGGTTCTACTACTTTCTTTGCTATGTGACCATGGCCAAATTACTAAGCCTCTCTGGGCCTGTTTGCTCCCTTACAAAAGGGGAAATGATAACCAATTTATAAAATTGTAAAAATTCAGTGAGGTAATGTGCATAAAGCACTTATTTCAATTCTTGGCATCTCGTGAGCATTTAATAAATGTTAATTTCCTTCCACTAATTTTTCTATTCAACAAATGTTTATTGAATGTCTGCTTGGATACAAAAATAAAAAAGCTACAGTCCTTCCTGACAAGGAGCTCCTAGTCCAATGGGGAGAGCTGCAATCTGAGACTTCTTGTAATATGTGAGCTGGGATCCAAAGATGGGAGGGATTTTGATAGAGGTAAGAAGAAGGAGGAGAAAGAAGTTTCAGGGAGAAGGGAATATTAGTAAAGGGGAAGGTTTGGAGTACAAGGTACCTGGAGACTTGGTTTTTAGTCCTACACCATCCACTCTAACCAGCTGTATGTGTTTGGGTTAACCTCAACTGGAAGAGGAGAGGACTGGATTAGACCAGTAACTCCCAACCCTGGCTGATGCCTTAGGTGCATGAAAAAAAATATTTCTGGGCCTCACATTAGAACAATTAAATCAGAATTTCTGTGGGTGAAACCCAGCATTCTCTCTTAAAAAAAAATTTTTTTAATGTTTTAATTGATTTTTTAGAGAGAAATGGAAGGGAGAGAGAGAAAAACATCCATCTGTTGCCTCCCATTGGTGATCAAACTTGAAACCTGGGTATGTGCCCTGACTGGGAATCGAACTGATGACCCTTTGACCCTTTGGTGTGACGATGAGGCCCAACCAACTGAGCCACACTGGCCAGGCCCCAGGATCCTCTTGACATCAACTTTATGATGATATATTTTACATGCAATATAATGCACTTACGTATATAAGTGTACAGTTCCGATGACTTGACAAATGTATACACTGGTGTAACCACCTCCACAATCAAGATAGAAAATTTTGCCATCACCCCAAAAGGTTTCTTTTGGCCCTTTAGCTGTAAGACCTTCCAACCTCATCCCCGGATGATCACTATTCTGCTTTCTGTCACTACAGATCAGGTTTGCCTTTTCTAGAATTTCACCTAAAAGATTCATACCATAAGTATTCTTTTATCTGGCTATTTGGGATATCAGTGTTTTTTAAAAGCTTCCCTGGATCATTTTAACGAGAAGCAATGGACTAGATGGCCTCTCAGGACCCTTCCGGCTTAAAAAAATGCCATGATTTCATCTGCTAGTCTAGAGGTACTTTATTAAAGTTGCTTTTTAGGAATATAACAAGTCCTACTGCTATAATAATTTGATAATGCTAACACTAATATTTATGGAGCTTTTTCTTATGTGCCCAGGTACTATGCTAAGTTATTCATATGTATTTTTTTATCTAAATCCCCACAACCCAGGAGGTAGGTACTGATATTATCCCTGAAGGTAGAGGTGAAAACTGACACTAGGGAGATTAAGTGACCTGTGGGAGGTCAAGAAGCTAGCAAGCAGTGAAGTCAGCGTTCAAACCCGGATTTTCTCACCATAAGCA